GACCAGTAGAAGCCCTGAAGCATGAGATTTTAGGAACATCTGAATTGAACCAGAGGGGACTCTCAGGGTGACAAGCCCTGCCCCTCACCATCACAAGCAACCCCATCATACAATCCTATTCACAAATTTATTATGCTCCCTGTTAAAACAAATTAAGTTGTTTTTCCCTCACAACTCCTTTTAGAAGCCTGTTCTAGAACCTCATTTTCCCAATTATTAGAAACCTTTTTCTGATTTCCAGTCTGAATTTGTTCAATTTATATACATTTGTGATTGTGCCATATTGTTCTTTAACTTAGTAGCTCTTCACTCTCCCTGGCGTTCATCTCCAATGTACTTATAGGGAGCAACCATATCCCATTCTTTTTTTGCTAGGCTAAACAAGCCAAACTCTTATTAGATCCCTCTTTTAAGATACACAGTCCATTTCCCAGAGTATCCTACTAGCTCTTCTCTCCACCTGTTGCCATTTGAATTCATATTCTTGAACATAGGCAATATGAATTGCATACAGTGCTCCAGATGAGATCTTACCAGTGCCTTGTACAATGGCATTAATACTGAGGATGTTAGTGTATAGTCATATAAACAATTAACTACATGGGATTTAAATACGTCTCCTCCTGGGCTATGTCTACACTGGTGGGTTCTTGCACAAGAATAGCTGTTCTTGCGCAAGAATCCGCAGAGTGTCCACACTGCCCATCCGCTCTTGCGCAAGAAGATTTACAGTACGGTGTGGTAAGAGAGGGCTTCTTGCGCAAGAGCTACCCTCTTTTTTAACAGGTGTAAGCTCTCGTGCGCAGGGGCTCTTGCTCAAGAGGACAGTGTGGACGCTCTGCAGGGGTTTCTTGCCCAAGAAAACCATATGGCTAAAATGGCCATCGGAGCTTTCTTGTGCAAGAGAGCGTCCACACTGCCATGGGCACTCTTGCGGAAAAGCATAGCTCACACATGGCAATGTGGATGTTTTCTTGCGCAAGACTTCTTGCACAAGAACCCTTGCACTAGATGTTCTTGCTCAAGAAGCCGCCAGTGTAGACATTGCTCTAGTATCCCCCTTAGACAGGCAGCAGTGTGGAGGGCGAGTGGGGGCAGGCAGCTCCATGGGATCTGGTTCTCCCATAAAGGCAAAAGCTTGAAGTAAGAGTGACACTCAGTGGAGAGAGAGAAGAAATGCTGTTTCTCAGTGTTGTTCTGTTCTCTTATGATACATGTAAGTCTTGTTATTTTTCATTTTCATATGATGAGACAAGTTAAAAGTACAGAAAAGTCCTAACAGCCCTAAGTTACTAGGTTTTACAATTTCCACCTAAAGAACCATGTAACCAGGCTTACCCACTCTGGCTTTGGGCCCTATGCTGTCTCATTACAGGGAATCAAACTTCAGACAGCAGGTGTTTCTCAGTACAGCTCCCCTTTTGGGAGTCTGGTGTGATAAAATAAAGTTCAAAATAACACAGATCATCTTCCACCCAGTCTTCCTGGATGGCTCACACCCTTGAACCAGGAGTAGCAGTCCTGTCCCTAGTGAAGCTTTTCCTTTAGCTGGCTCCTACTCCCTGCACGTCTCTTGTCAAACATTTCTACTTAGGAGCTCTGGAAAGTTAGTCACCCTAAGCCTCCTCACTGGATCCTTCCTGACTGTTCTGCCACTCTTACTCCTGAATGAATTCAGACTACCTTCATATGCTGCAGCGAGACTGATTTTTAGTCAGATCTGATTTTTAGTCATATGATTCATATTCTTCCCTTCTACCCAAGAAGAGAGGGAGGCTAATTTGGTATATGTAAGGCTCAGCCCCTACATTTCAAAGGGACATATTTCTGAAATAAATGGAATCAAACCCCCAGCTGCAAGCATTCAGACATCAAGATATTTATAATCAGGACTTGGATCCAATTTTTGCAGCTCAGACTTATGTCCAATTAAAAGGTGATCAAGTTAGGGGTTAGGATTTCTTAATCCCTCCGTAAGAAATGCGGATCCCAACAAATGCAATGGTGCATGGGTTGAAAGATTCTGGAGACCCACATGCTGAGGAACACAAATATATATACAAACAAAAAGAACAGGTGGGTAACACCCTTAAAAATAAGAATAGCAAAGTTTGTAAAAGAAAATTGCTTTTTCAACACAAATATGAAAAGAACTATTGTGCAAGTGACCATAAATCAATGCTGTTGTTGCTTCTTTATTGTGATTCCATGTTTTATTCAATATCTACCTACCCAGTGCCTGGAACAGACTTCTCAATAACATAGTCTGCACTGAGAAATTTTTTTCCTTAAAAAACTTTGCATTTTTGCTAAAATACTACTATTAACCACCATGGGAACATGGGGGCCAGTTCAGCTACAGACACCTGAACACTATATTTCTAAGCAGAATTATTAAACAATTCTGTGTTTGTCCAGTGCCTACAGCAATGGGGAAATAATCCATCACTGGGGTCCGTGGTGTTATGACAATACAAATAAATAAAATAAAATAATGTGACACTGGTAGTCCATTTATCCTCTTGCTCACGGCACAGCTAATACCAATGGAGCTGCAGCAGTATGGCAGCACATGTGGGTTGTCTGATGAAAAACAGTAGGGCAGCCTCAGCTCCCTGTGTAATTCACCTTATTTACTTCCTTTAAATCCATCCTCAAAATTTACTTCTTTGAATTAATTTTTCATAATATCTATACTATTTTGCTGACCAAATACATTAAAAACAGTGAAAACCCAAGAAAAATATGAAACCAACACAAGTTAAATGATTTGTACCTTGGAAAAGAATGTTCCCTACAGAAGCTTTCCCTTTCACCTTATTTTATTCTTTCCATCATTCCCTGAGGGCAGCCACCATTTTCCTTTGAATTATATGTCTATTTAATTAATTGTGTTTCTATAGCAACCATCATAATATCTAATCACTTAAGAATATTAAAGATGCAGAGTTCTCTCCCTTTCTCTGTATAAGCCAATTTCTTTTATTGATAATAATATAATGACTTACTTTTTAATAAATGTGGATAAGCAACATTTCATAGGCAGGAACTTAAATTTCAGAGTCTAAAATGGCAGCATCAAATATCTCCATACCATCACTTTTATAAGACACCATTAATCTCTGTCTCAGAGACAATAACTCTGTCAGAACATGGATCTTGATTTCTTATTCACCTGCAAACCACTGTGCATGTATAGTACTATATAAATAATAAAAAGAAGTTCCTTCACATCTGGTATCATCTATGCTCTCATATATGCCACTCCTTTATAAGTCACCCTGATTAATTATTTTAGGGCTCGTCTAGACTACATTCCTCTTTCGAAAAAGGAATGTAAATGAGCCCCATTGAAAGTGCAGATGAAGCAGGGATTTAAATATCCCGTGCTTCATTTGCATAATCGCATCCCAGTGGTCTTTCGAAAAAGGGTATTTTGAAAGTGAAACTGTAGTCTAGACGTGGTTCTTTCGAGAAAAAAAAACCCTTTTTCGAAAGAACCCGTATTCCTCATTTTTTCAGGAGTACGGGATCTTTTGAAAAAGGGGTGGTTTTCTTCCGAAAGAACAGCGTCTAGAAAACAAGAAAAAGACTGCTGTGATGCGATTATGCTAATGAAGCGCAGGATATGTAAATTCCCGCTTCATTTGCACTTTCGAAGTGTTTCATTTACATCCCTCTTTCAAAAGAGGGATGTGGTCTAGACATAGCCTTACTGTTTGATACTATTTTGAAAAAGATCCAGAATACAGTAGCATCTACTGAGAATATTGGTTAATATGCTCCTCTTCTCTCAGATGCAGTGGATGTGCAGAGAAAACAATGATGTGCCCATGTGGACATGGAAAAGATCTTGGAGTGTGCTGTGCCTGTTTCTTCAGCCATAAAGTTGTGAATAAGGGTGCGTCTACACTGCAGAGCTTAACTTGAAATAAGCTATGCAAATTGAGCTATGTCAATTGCATATCTTATTTCGAAATAGCATCTACACAGCACTTATTTCAAATAGAGCACTCTTCCTCCGACTTCCCTTATTCCTTGTACAATGAGGGTTACAGAAGTCCAAGTAAGAAGTCCTCCAGCTTGACAGTATTTTGACAGTATTTCAAAATAATTGCCTGCTGTGTAGATGCGGACTACATTATTTTGGAATAGCGTTAATTATTTCAAAATAGTGTTGCAGTGTAGATGTACGCTAAGAGTCAGCACCAAAGACAGGAGCAGCATTTGATATCACTGTTCTTTTCTGTGTGCATTTGATGTTTGTTTGTTTTGCTTGTTTTAAAAGAAGCAGAATCAGATTGCAACAGTGACAGATTATTGCAACTAAATTTTCTTTTCCCTAAGGAGAGGTATTATAATCTATAGTAGAATCTAAAAAACTGTCAAGCACACAATTTTCCCTATAAAAACTCTGTATAGTTAGAGTGAAGGGGAGTAAAGAATAGTGTTAACATGAAAATCTTACATAATACATTTCAAATTATTTTTTATTTTTTTGTATTTTTCATAAAATGTTATAAATAATGATGGTTGGTGTCATAAAACTAAGCAGGACAAAAGTCTCTTTACGTATCACCCCCACCAAATGTTTAATTGCTCAATATTATAAATTAAAATTAACACAGCACTACACACCCAGCACTGAAATACAGTCTGTACCAGAACACAAGGGCAGCGGGTCATGGCAGCCCAGCACAACATGCTTCTTGTCAGGGACATTCTTCTCCCAACCATCTGCAAGCCTTTTACAGCCTCTGTGTACTGATATCACAGGGATGTCAATGTTACTCATGAAAGCTCATGCTCCAATATATGTGTCTCTTACTGTATGTCTACACAGCAGGGCTAAAGTCGGAATAAGCTATGCAACTTGAGCTACGTCAATTGCATAGCTTAAATCAAAATAGCTTATTTCGGGTTTTGGCACTGTCTACACAACAGGAAGTCGAAAGAAGAGTGTTCTTCCTTCGACTTCCCTTATTCCTCCTAAAATGAGGGTTACAGCTATTGGAGTAAGAAGTTCTCCAGCTCACCATTATTTTGAAATAAAAGCTGGCAGTGTAAACGGGTGCTATACTATTTTGGAATAACGTTAGTTATTCTGAAATAATGCTGCTGTGTAGACATATCCTAAATCAGTGTTTCTCAAAGTGGTCCGTGAATCCACTCGGAGAAACCTGCTAATGAGCTGCTCTGGTTTATTTACTTAATGACTCCACAGCCAAGGAGCCTCACAGCTCCCACTGGCTCTGGTTCGCCATTTGCAGCCAAGGGGAGCCGCAGGAAGTGGTCTGGCAGGAAATGGCAAACTGGAGCCAATGGGAGCTGCAAGACTCCATGGCTACGGAGTCAGTATATAAACAAACTACAGCGGCCAGTTAGCAGGTTTCTCAGAGTGGATTCACAGACCATTTTGAAAAACACTGCTCTAATATATAGTCTCTAAAGTGCCACACGACTACTCGTTTTTAATCTTACTCATGGTTTTAGAGAGCGATGCTGTAGGTCATATTTTTATTTCTTTGTCTATAAAAGAAAATTATTTCAGCTGTAGATTTTATCCACAACTGCAGTAGCTCTGAGGTTAAAGCTATAACAATAAAAATGTAATGATATTATTTAAAAAATATACACACACACACGAAAGTGTTTCAGATTTGGAACCAGAGTAAATAAACTATTTTGTAATTAGTATTTCTAGACACAAAGTACTGAGCACTTACTAACTATGTATAAAAGTGTTATTGAGACCCTATAGCTTGTTTGTTTGCATGATGACTTTGCAAATCTTAAGTACTTATAAATTAAAACAGACAGCTCCTTTCTGCTTTTGGTCTAGTCAGGAATGAGCCTCTACAACCCAGAGCAGAAAGTGTTATAAAGTTAAATTTTAATTATAATTTGAAATAAAGTGTATTTGTGACTAAAACAATATTTTTAAATTGTGCGCCAATGTACATTTAAGTTTTATTAGCATATAACAATGGCAAGCCAAAATGTCTTAATTGTTTTCCTTTCAGCGGATATGAAATAAATAAAACTGGTTATGTGCAAAGTATATTTTGTATCCCAAAACATTTATGAATACTTAGCAGCTTTTAAATTTAAAAGGTTTTAAATTTTCTTTAATTTCCCATTTCTCACCTGTTGAAATTAGAATCTGTGGCATTTTCAAAATAAACAATTGTGACTAAATAGCCATTACAATTCAAAATTCAATTAAGTAATGTTAATGGCATCTGTTCTTGACTGACAAATGGAAATTAATTCCATAGCAGAATGCTCCTGTATGATTGGAAGCAACTGTTCTTATTCATGGGTTTTATTTATCTGTTTCCATTTATATTTTTGGGCCTTTCAGCACTTACTTTAAGTGATTGCCATTTAGTATCTCCCCAAATTTTGTCTCCTTTACTTCCTCCATCATCTTAGTGGCTTTATAAACCCATGAATCCACCTCCAGCCAACAAAGGAAATTCCTTTTTATGGTATAGCTTTTTTAAGTTAGGAGCAATTTAGACCTAGAGCTGAGTCAAGTACAACAGCATAAGTTGGAAAATGTCCCCATCCTGATGTTGCTACCTGCATCTCAGAAAGTATCTTCTTTCACATTTAGGTAGAGGGAGAAATGCAAGTATCACCTAAAGAAAAGTAAGTGGGAAGTGAACCAATCAGCTACCCCTTGAAGTCCCAGGAGAGGAAAGCTAGCTAGTCACCTTCAGAAGATGCAGAAGGGCTGGTAGGCCAGAGCCAGAGGGACTTTCTCTAAGAAAACAATAGAGAATAAGGAGTGGGACTGATAAATCTTTCAAAATGGTGATGGAAAAATCAGTAGAATCCAAAAGTTTGTATAAATGTCAGATAAGCATCCAAATGTCTGTATGCTGCTTATTTATGTCAAACTGAAAGGTTGAAACTTTTGAGATTATCCTTTCCCTAATAAAAATAAGCTGGTCAAAATTCGGAAAGAAATTGTTTTGCATTTCAAATAGAACATCTAATCAGTTTTTAAAATATGTTAATTCTATTTTGAAGAAAAAAATGCACCACACTGTGTTTTCTTGCAGCAAGTTTAAAATTCACAGTCTATACAGTTCAAACATGACTGTAATGACAGGGGAAAAAAACAGGTCAGAGTTTCAACCTCCATGCATGAGCAACCACAGACTTCTGGTACCTGGAGAGATGAGAATGTATGGGAATATCCTCAATTGGCATTTCCAGAGGAATTTTCTCCCGTATGCATTTTCTTTCTTCTCCATGGCAAAGTCTTTCTCTATGCTCCAAAAAGAGACAATCTTCTGTGGCACCAGTATATATCCCAACAACCGCTGCATGCTGTGTAAAGAAATTACAATGTTTGTCTAAGTAAAATTAATTTCTGCCTGAATTAACTCAATTTCAACAATTTCATAATTAACTGAAAAACCTAATTGATATAACAACCTATTAGGACCGTGGTGTCCAACCAGTTCTGAAGCAGTAGCCACTATAGAGATAGCTCACTAAACAGAGGAAAGCAAAAACAAAACAAAAAAAATCCAAAAACTCTAGGCCATATTTTCAAAGGGCTTTCTTTCCAATTTGCATGCATAAAAGCCAGGCAGCAGTGAATGGACACTGTGTACTCAGCCTCCTGATTTTTGCAAGCAAATCCATACCAGAATTGAGCTTTGGATATTGTGTACATATTTGATCTGTACATATTGATAAGCATTCACAGATATATGCCTTACATATTCACACACGTACATAATCATTCACTTAAGTGTATTTGAATAATATACACATCTGTATTTATTTCTGTATGCTATACCTCTGTGGAAGATCAGACTTTGTAATCGTTAGGCTCCAACCATACAAACACTTAGAACCTAGAGTAACTTTATTGATGGTTGCAGTCAATGAGTTCAATAAGGAATTAAACTCATAGGTAAAGTATATTCACTTGCCAGCAGGATTGGGCCCTTAGCAAAAGAATATGAATATAACTCATGTGAATTTGAATTACTTCTAACTTTTCTAAATGATTAGCAAAACATGTTTTTCTTAGGAAGGACTTAAATGTGTGAAGCTTTAAATAATAATGCTTGAGTTATCCAAGTACGTAAAAAATATAAGAAAAATTTTAAATAAATATTTGTTCTTGTTTTAATAGTTCTAGAAAGGCTCAACAGATTTTTTTAAAAGTTACCATAAGGCTGAAGGACAAATTTGAGCCTAAAAGAAAATATTTTAAGAAAGCTATTAGTGACTAAACAAAACGTGCTTCCACCAAGAGTGGCAAGACATTTCAGAAACAACAGCAATATAGCCCTGTGACCAGGTTTTCACAAGTGAAAACAATGAGACTCAGCCCCTTTTGAAATTAGGTCACTATTATATTGTTAACAGGATGAAATATTTTCTGGTCCCACTACCTTTAAAGTGAATTTCCTGTTCTTCATGTCTTCTTTCCAGGGCATCACATAATGTGCTGGAATCATCCCATGTTTGTTTGATAACTGTGGTAAGTGGCAATGAACAAACCTGTGAGACAAAACATTTTTAAAAGACAGTGGGACAGTGTGAGAAGACAGCTTGTGTTATTAACTGAATCAAACAAGTCCATATATAATCCATAGAGGGGAAAGTATTTAATATAATTAATAAAAATATTACTCCTTCCTTTCCCTCCAAACAAGCTTATTATTTGACTTGAAATTTCCATTTTTTCTCCTGGCACACTATCCTGAGTCAACAAATGTTTCTTCTTCTGTATTTAGCATAACAGGAGAGAAATGAATTCAACCACATAAATTGAGAAGTGTAATTTTTTAAATTTCCAATAACTGCATGCCCCCCTCACATCCACTCTCCATGAAAACACAAGACAGGAGCTGGCTTTGCACACTTGCTCAGGTTCAGGACAGCAGGAGTCTGCATCTGGCTGAGCGTGGTCTTAGCGCTCTACTGTTTGTATAGCGTGCCCATTGGGACACTTCTTGGAGCAGAGAAGAATGGTTTTATTTCTGTCCCTCCTCTCAGTGACACAAGAGGCCTGCCCAGCACTTCCTAGTCTAGGGTTGCCAACCATTGTCCTCGCATCCCCGGGTATTACAGATAAACTATTGTGTCATATGATGAAACCTCCAGAAAGTCATTCAACGAAAACTTGCAAGCTAATCTCTGGCAAAGCTGCTTCCTGCCCTGAGGGCGGCAAGAATGTAGTTTAGAAAAAAGCCACAGAACAGGGGATGTCTGCCAACCCGAAAGTGGGACCAATACCTGTGCAGGAAGGTAGGTGCCTACTCTGGGGAAAGCCCCAGCAAGCTGAAGTCTCCCCGCCCGCTCTCTCAGATACGCGGGAGAGACTAAGCCGAGCAGAGGACTGCGGGAGAGACGAGGGGTGACTGATAGCACGAGGAAGGCTGAGAGATAAGCAGGACGCCCCCCATTAGCTCCTTCAATTGGCTCTGCTCAAATGCAGTCACAGCAGGGCGTGGCGCTGCCTAGGTACGGGGAAGGGAGGGAAGAGCTGTTGGGCGGGCCAGCCCCAGCTCCGCCTTCCTTGCTCCTCACCCTTTGAGGTCCGTGTTGGTCCCCACCGAGACCATGGCGGCTGTAGGCTAACCCCGCCCCTCCCGCTCGCAGCGCCGGTCTGCAGGCGGG